TGTACGGTACGCGGTGTGCTCCATCTATCTTAATCACATTCATCAACATGGTGCTGCAGAAGGCGACGCCGTACGAGCCCAAGTGCAAGACGTCGAACATGTTCGCCGGTCAGATCGGACTCCAATACCTGCTTTTCTACATTGCCATGATTTGCGTGCCGTGGATGCTGCTTGCCAAACCGGTGCTCATCATGAGGAAGAGGAAACAAGCGCACGCCTATTCGGTAAATAGATAAAAACAGACCTAACTGTATTTTAAGTTGCATGAACCTCTTACACTTGCTGGTCTCCTTGTTACCAAATGACAACGTTGCATTACCGCCTAAGATGTTCCTAAAAATGGTGGTAGGTATACGAGCCCCTTCCCACTTCAGTTGTCCCACTTCAAGATTTGTACCAAAATATGCCTTTATAAACTAAACATGACGAAACTATTTACTTCTAAAACAATTTATTTTCTCAAAAACATTTTAGATACACTCTAGTCATAAAAAATACATATAACTAGTAGAACATCTGAACAAATAAACAATGTGCGAGTAAATGCGCGAAGTTAACAAAGCATCAATTGAAAGATTACCATTGGGTAACATCACCTTTATTTTTTATTACGGCTGAAATTCTTTGGGGCATAGTATTAACCAAGTTTTGGCAAAAATTTGGTGTAAAACAATGCCATATTTCTTGAAGCTTTTGTCTCAGTTCGGTGATTGTACGAGCAGGATGTTGTCGTAGAACCTTTTTCATCTCATGCCACAAAGTTTCAATAGGTGACAGATCTGGACTGCTAGAAACCCATTTCAAAAGTGGTACATTATTTTCTTCCATCCATTTTATAGCCTTTTTTGAGGTATGGCACGCTGCACCATCTTGCTGAAACACAAAATCTTGGTCGGATGTCAAACATTCTTCCATCACTGGTAAAAGCGATTCTTCTAAAATTGCCAAATATTTGTTTGTATCCACATTTTCATCAATAAAATGAAGTTTTCCTACTCCTTTTGATGACATACTGCCCCAGACCATAATGGATTCTGGAAATTTCACTTTTCTCTTCAGACAGTCAACATGGAATGCTTCATTTTTTGCGAATAACTCTACTGCGACTGTCACCAACACAAACTTCGAATCGGGCCTCATCACTCCATTGTATTGCACACCATTGTTGAGGTGTCCATTGTCTATGTTCTTTAGCCCATCTAAGCCGATCTTTCTTTCTTTTGCAGTGGAGTTAATAGTGGCTTTTCTTTGGCATATAAACAAGTTGTGCAACTTTAGGGTTTTTATTTCACTTTTTTATAAGAAAACTTACCTTGCAAGTGCTAAATCCCAGTTTGTGGCCCTCTCTATGAGTTGTGGACCTCGAAATTCTCCTTCCAACAGCGTCACTCCACAGAGCACTTAATTGTAATTAATTGGCACGCCTGTTTTTCACGATTATTCTTCTTAATGCTCTTCGGTCGGCATTTGTGATATTACTTTTTTTCGCATATCGCGGCTTAATATTAACTGAACCAGTTACGTTATATCTTCTAACAATATTTCTGACAGTGTACCGTGACAAGTCTAACAAAGTTGCAATTTCTGAGTTTGATTTCCCAGAATTAAAAAATTTAATTATCAGTAACCGAATTTTCTCACTCATAACCTTTCCTCTACCCATTTTGAAAACCTTAACTACCCAAAACCCAATCTGTCTGCACTGTATTAGCAGAACATAGCCATGTTGTGCATCGTTTTTTCAACGTGAATCCAGTATTTTATCATCTTGCCATGTGTTCTCATTTACACTTCATAACATCAAATACTAGCACCATTCTCACTGACGGACTTCTGAAGATGACAACATAGCCTGTCGAAAGCTTGAGAATTTGTGAGTCAAAAGGGTACTCTTAGCTTAATTTGTCGATATGTTTAATGTCCCCCTCCCCTTTGATTTTTTGAACGGGTCAATTCAAAAAATGAAAACTTGAGGTAATGAAATTGATGCGTGGATACCATATTTTAGAGTAAAATTGACAGATAAAAATGTCAAGGTCGCCGCTGGGCGCCATCTTGAAAAAAAAATTATATGAAAACGGGGGTCTTGTGGCACATCATTTTGAAGCTGCTGACGAGTACTTTATAACCCTAGAATATAAAGTCAATACCTTTACCTACTACAAAATAGTGGTACATTTAATAATTACCTGAATACATTGAAATTTAACTTGATAATTCGAATAAATACGTTGCTTCAGTTTAGAAGATGCTGGAAATAGTTGCCTTGAACTTCTGGACACAATAACAGCCGGTCCGTAATTTCGCGTCGAACATTTTCAAACATAGTAACTTCGATATTTCTACAAATATTTGTTTTCTAAGCCGTATATCCAATATTGAAGCAGGTTCAGTTTCGTACATCTTTTGCTTCAAATAGCTCCATAAAAAGGTTTCAAATCTGGCGACCGAGCTGGCCATTCCACAGGACCTCGACGGCCAATCAAACGACCGGGGAAATTTTATTTAAATAATTCCTAGCGTGTCTGTAGTAGTGTGGTGGAGCACCATCTTGCTGGAATACAATATACCTGTAAGTATCGAATTCATAGGATACGCTTCGATGATTTCGGTGATTAGAGGGTCAATAGTATTTTCCAGCATATCCAAATTTTGTCTATGCACATTACCGTTGAGGAAAATGTACATTCATCACTAAAACAAATATTTTGGATATAGGTACTCGTAGGATGCCGTGCAATGGTTTCCGTCATAGTCTCGCAGAATTTTGTTCTCCGATCAGGGTCATCTTCAATTAGCTGATGTACCATTTAAATTTTGTGTGGGTGATACTTATTCTTTTTCAAAAGTCTCTATACAGTAGAAGGACAAACCTCACATACATTCGCAATGGAGGAAGTAGGCTGTTGGGGGTTACTATGATCTCACCAATTATTTGAACTTGCTTTTCTTCCGGGATGGTCGGATGACCTGGGGGCTTTTTGTTGTTTACACTACCAGTAGCTGTAAATTTAGATACAAGTTCCCTTGAATATTTTCTACAGATAGGACGATTCGGGAAACGATCATTTAGGGCCAATTTCACCAACAGTAATATTTGATTCCAACGTGATGCTTTTGATCAGAAAAACTTTCATGTATTTTGATATATGTTATAGGTTTACATTTAACAATCCGTTATCCCCCTCAGCGAAAGGGAATGCGGCAAATAATAGGTCGATTTTCTAGCTGTTAAATTTGGTAGCAGATTTGGACGTTTGTTAATGCATGGCACTCTCGAATTTACCAACTTCAATATACTGAAAGTTATCATTACATACCTGTTGAATAGTGTGGATTTGTCTGTATTTTCCAAGAAAATAGAATAAAATACATTCCATCCAATTCCTCATCTTCCTTCACGTCTTAATAGTAATCATTTATTAATTTATGGGTTAATGAATTTCTTCAAAGCAATACAAACATTATGTCCTCTCCATCCTAAAACACAGATAATATGTGTAAGACGTGTCAATCCCTACATCTCCCTGATGCATAATGCAATTACTCGTACTATGGACATAGACAAAAAATTATGAAAAATGTTTCACAGATAATGGCTTTTAAGTCCAAAAATCAAAAAAACTAGCAATGTTTATTGTTTGTCTATTGTTCTTTTTTGACTGGCGGGGATATCTATCTGGACACTCGCAGGGTTGCCAAGTCTAACGACGATCACGTCCCGTGGTGGAAGGTGCGAAATGAATCTTTTACATTTGCTGGTTTTGAATTTTTTCGTGAAAATTTACTAGCTATCATGATTATAAGCATCTTTGGTAGATTGTTCTATCCGGAATGGAAAAGATCTCCTATTTATGAAAATATTTTTGGTATCATCTAACCGTTGCAATCAGTGCACAAACACTGTGACATATGATTTATAGTATAACCCGCTGCCCTATCAATACAAATTTAACATACAGGTCACCTAGCCGTGGGGATGCAGTGGTCGTGATGAATATCACGACAGCAACTGATGATTTGGGCATGTCTGGTAAGAACGTATGAAGTGAAGTTTCACTTCATTCTCTCGATAACTTCACAAATTTGAAGATTTTGTACAATTTCTTTGAAAATGATGAAAGATGTGTTTGATTTGGCAGGGTAATGTCGCAGCCAAATGACAGTCACTCTTTCTGACACAGTCCGGATCGAAGATGACGATACTCGTGAAATGTATTGATACTTCTAAAATATAGGATCCTATCGAACATCCCTACTGTCAAGATGTATAACCCAAGTTGACAGATCCCACACGTGTGTAACTCCTTGAAATGCAATAATCAGCTGTTATTCAAATAATGTCTAATATAAATATAACCTAGAATGTGTACTCGTGAAAAAAGAAAAAATATGGCAAATTTGTGGTTTTTTTGCAAGTTTTATAGGTTTGCTGGTAGCTTTAAGGCATATATTGGGAATTTCTTAATCGCTGTGAATATAGTGTGGATGTTTGTTCAGTTCCTGAACAACGAAAAATATTCAACTTTATGGATGTATGGATATCAAAAAGCCTGAGTGGTTTTGTGGGAATATCAATCTAAGGTGCCATAATGGTTCTGATGAACGGCAAGTAAATGAATGAATGTTTGGAAACGAGCAATATCTTTTTGTAGAGCTTGTCATCAAGTAGGTGCTTAATGGCTATCTGCTAGAGGTTATAGGAAAAAACACCCAGTATCTCATATCAATTGAAAAAATATATACACATGAATAAAAAATCAACAATAGTAATTAAAACATGAATTTAATTCAAAAATCAAACATTTGTTAAAATTTTGACTGAATTATATGTAATTTCTTAATATTCAATAAGCTGGTAATGTTTCAATGACAAGTTGTCATCTCATACTTTGACAGTTTTGTTTTCAACATTTCATAGCTATTGGTTGCTAAAATTTGTTGATTGGAACTTGAAGCTCATTCGCTGTATCTGACGGTCTGTTACCCTATAGGTGGAGAATAACGAACTGTTGTTGGTGAAATTGGGCCTAAAAATCCTTTCGGTCTCGTGAAAGTTACGCGTCGCACCATAAATAAAAATCGCTTCGATTTTTTCTTCCAATGGACGAGAATTGACCAGTTTAAAAATAGTTCAAACAGTATCTAGCATTAAAACCGAAAACTAAAAATATTTTAACTGTACAATGAAGTTTGTTTTCGTACTGATATTCTTGTCACTGTCAACAAAAAATAACAAAACAAGTTTTTATCGCTGTTGCTGCGGATACGGCAGGAATTACAATTATTTGTAGAGATATGCATGTTAGTGGGTTTCTGTTCAAGTTATTATTAAATGTACCACCATTTTGTAGTAGGTAAAGGTATTGACTTTATATTCTAGGTTTATAAAGTATTCGACAGGAGCTTCAAAATGATGTGCCCCACGACCCCGTTTTCATATAATTTTTTCCCAAGATGGGCGTCCAGCGGCCATCTGACGTCTTCATCTGTCAATTTTACTCTAAAATATGGTATCCATGCATCAATTTCATTCCTCAAGTTTTAATTTTCGAATTGATCCGTTCAAAAAATCAAGGGGGAGGGGGACATTAAAGAAAAGTACTGTATATAAATTAGCAAAAAAATTAGTAAGTAATTTTTATAGGAACATTTCATAGCATATGTATGTTATATTTTCCTACAAATAAATTATGTCAATCAATGAAACGCTTGTCACTCGCACATTTTTTGTGTAAAATATTTTCAATTTTATGAATTGGTCGAAATTTCACCTCTTATCCACGTTTCTGTTACGTGTATAAATGACTTGCACAAGTCGGTGCATTTGCGTTACCGTTTAACGTGGAAGATACGTCACTCGAGGACCGGTGACGTACTACACCTAATTTCCTCGTTTAATCGACGACTATCGACGTATACATGCTAGCTCGGTATCTTGGAATATGAAACTGAAGCTCAATATAATTTAATTATCTATAAGATTTTATGTTATGTATTTTGTGATTCCAGGTGACACATCAACAGATGGCATCAGCAACGGAGAACGGCGATGCGCAGCAGACAGGTGGTGGCACAGGGGGGCACGGCGAGGGCCACGACGAGGAGCCTCTAGGAGAGATCTTTATCCACCAAGCCATCCACACGATCGAGTACGTCCTCGGCTCCGTCTCGCACACCGCTTCCTATTTGCGTTGTGGGCGCTCTCACTTGCTCACGCTCGTAAGTACTATTTCCATTCATAAACTTTTTTGATTAAACTATAAGTCCATTTGACATTGATTTGACGTGATCAGCGTTCTAGAGAGAAAGAACAGCCTTATAGAATGAAGTGAGAAGTATTCAAAAATTTAGATTTTTTTATTAACCTTAAAACGAGTATTTTATTATAATCAATAAAACAAACATCACAATGATTTGTATTAAGAAATTTTCAAATCAGGTTAACAATAACGTCTATGTATGTGGTATTCATGATTGCTAAAAGTATGCAATAACTATATACATTAGTACCAAGGTAATATAATCGAATTGTCATGAATAAAATAGCTTTGCTATGATTGAAGAGATGGTAATGTAGCCCAGAAGTTTTGCCTGCTTCATTGTGAAAGGTTCGCAGACTTTCCCAACTTTTTCGTGAAACCAGGCTACGATTTTTTTGAGTAACGAATTAACCATTAATGTCAAAAAGGCACACTAAATGCGAATTACTTTCATATTTCCTAACGTCGAAAAAATATGGATCTCCTTGTTTTGTGACTTGGCTGATCGAAATACCAATAAATAGCTCAACCAAATACTGTAGTAAACATATTTAAAATGCCATGCAGGCATATTCAATTGTACTATATGGAAATAAATGAAATGGGGCTATTTTACACCTTGGCAGAATTTCATTGTACATTGAAATCTTTACACTGCAGAAATCAGCTAGTGAGTATGATTTTCCTTTCGGATACCCATAGAATGTAACATTTTATGTCATACGGTCCATGCCAGAGAAAAAAATCCTATTTTTCTCACATCTGACAAAACCATTATCTCGATGACAAAGGAAAACACTTTTGACGTCACCCTAAATAAAAATTTAGCGTGGAATGTTATGTTTGAATTTCGGAAGGGACACTTCCCGCTCGCAAAGTGAAAAGACTCAACGTACACTTTAGAATCAATGTATTAATATTCACTCAATCTCAAGGTAAATAAAGTTCTGGTTAATCCATAAATCAGTGGCTTGAATGATTGTGGTTTTAATTAAATGTGTCTTTTTCCTTACCAGGGTACTGGTAATTTTCCGTATTCCTTCCAGGGGGTGACATGGGACTAAAATGCAACAAATTTCGCCCTGTACCTATATGTATCTACGAAGATTGACAGTTTTAGAGATTTTTACATTTTTGTATTTTTTTACAGTCACCCGAAATTGGGCATTCAAGTCTTAGGGACGTATCATCAGTTGTTCCTACAATAAATTGTAGGACTCCTTAATGGCCTCCTTGATGTTCATAGTTTCCTATGGTTCCGTGTCAGCACTCTATTTTGAGGTTGTCACGAATATCTATTTGCAACAGATTATTCATGCCTCTTATTTATATCATCTGTTTTATCAGCCTAAAATTTCCTGCAATCAAAAAGAAAACCTAACTTCACAATAGACGCTGATACGGAGCAGGTGAAATCTAGAAATACCCCAGGCGTTCTGAAGGGGAGAAATTACTATGACAATCAAGGAGGCCATAAAGGCGACCTACAATATTGTGAGAACGACTAACGATCACGGCTTTTAATAAGAAAAACGTATCTAAGAAATCCGTAAGAATTTTTCATATCATAAGGGCATCTATTTTTTTCGAAAAAAAATCTAAAAAACGCGTTGCTAAGTAATAATTTTAACAAAAAGCATGAGCGCTGGTGGCAACAAAAATCCGAGTCGAAGATGAGTGAAAGCATTTTTGTTTAAATTTACTTTTGTTTAGACTTATTCTTGGTGGGATACTTATCATGCATTTGCAGCATAGGAAATATACTTTTCATTCAATAATGTTATAGATCACACTTATCGCGAGAAGTTATTCTCAAAACTTGTAGGTTTTCACATAGCTATTCAACGTTTAGAGCTCTACGCGGATTTTTTTTTATATTGAAGCAGCCGCGCAGGCAGAAGCCTAAATGCAGGAACACCGCGGCTGCTATGATGATCCCAAAGAAATTTTGTTAATACGACTTTTGAACTGCCTAAGGTCAGTAGTACTGGGAAAAGCTTCCTCTTGTACATTGTTCCACAATCTCGACACCCTCGGGACAAGGGAGCGGTCGTATCGGCCAGTTCTGGATGTACGAAGTTCGACACGATTAGGATGGGACGCCAAAGTTGGTGTAGCGGTAGAGAAGAGCTAGATCACCGACGGTCCGCCGGTGCGTCTGATAGAGAAGAGTCATCGACCAGTCGGACCGTCCTCCTCTGGACAGCATCGAGCATGGATAATGTAGTCGGGGTGGCAGCACCCCAAACGTGTGATCAATACTCGAGGCTAGGCCTTATCTGGGCCTTGTATAGACTGAGAGGGTCATGCGGAGAATAGTACCTCTTAGCCCTAAACAAATAGCCTAGCTTTTTCCCAGCAGCTGCAGCTATTGACGAGATGTGTTCGTGCCAAATCAGGTCCTCGGTGATCTGGACTCCGACCAGCCGAAATGAATGGCTCTTTGACAGAACTCGAAACCAGATGAGCGCTAGTAAAGCACAGTACTGTGTTTTGGAAGCATTGAACTGTACAAGATTGTTGCGTCCCCAAGCAGTGATAGCCTCCAGGTCTCTTGTCAGATAGGAAGTCGTCGCTAGTCTTCTTTTTTCCAGCTCAGCTGTAGATTGGGTTGATCGTACAGGAAAGGAGGTCGTTGATATGTAAGAGAAACAGTGTCGGAGCCAAGACCGATCCTTGGGGAACACCCGCGTTGACCTTGTGGGATGAAGAGGAGAGCCCGTCAATTAGGACGGATACCTTGCGGCCAGAGATAAAGTCAGCCAGCCATCTGCAAAGCTTTTGTGGGAGGCCAAGATGGAAGTTTGATTAAGAGGGCAGCGTGCCACAGGTGATCGAACGATTTCGTGATGTCAAGAGCAACGACATGAGCCTCACCATAAGACTGGATGAGTTTACTCTACAATTGCGTGACGTAAGCCAGGAGGTCCCCTGTGGATCGTTGGTGCCGGAAACCATACTGCCTGTCGCTAATCAAGCTGGGACGTTCGAGGTAGTCCAGAAGCTCGCGATTTATGCACCTCTCTGTCACCTTACTTATAACTGAAAGCAGTGGTATAGGCCTGTAGTTGTAAGGGTCGGTCTTAGATCCTTTTTTGGGATGGCTTGGACATGAGCAAATTTCTAGTTTTCTGGGAAGGTGCCGGATTCATAAGATATCTGTAAGAGACGCGAAATAACTGGAGCAAGAACCGGTGCACACCTCTTCAGCACAATGGCAGGAATCAAGTCCGGACCAGAAGCTTTGTTGATGTCGAGCGACAAGAGCACTCGTCTTACGGTCTTATGCCTGAATGTTACCTCCCGCATAGTGTAGGGAACCCTTTGAATTTTGATGGCACTTGGGCGTTGGGGGGACGTCCATGGTGGAGTTGGCAGCAAAGATCTTGGCTAGCACTTCCGCCTTGGCCTTTGATCCGAATACAATAGTTCCATCGTGACATGTAAGTGGTGGAAGGCTACTGGGTTCTTTTCAATCTGCTTGGGCACAGACTGCCATTGTGCTGCGACATTACCCTGTGCCTAACTTTTATATCGTGCTGGTTTTTGGCATTGCGAACCGCTTCGTTATATTTGTTTCTGGACTTGACTTCGGCTTGTCTATTCTCTACAGTGAGGTTTTGTAAGAAGGTTCGGTGTGCCTTGATCTTCTACTGGCGAGCAGTGTCACACTGTTTGTTAAACCAGCCGTTGGACCCTGGTTTAGGCACTTTCACTGTGTGAGGGATGTATTCCTAATTTCAGTTAACGAAGAACAGACAGCCGACGCATCCGCGTCAGTGAAACAGTCATCTCTCCGAGGAAAGCTCTGAGCCACTCCTAGTCGGCATGTCCGTAATGTCAAGTTTTCCCGCCTGTACGAGTTTCTGCTGCCACAGCGGGTTCTGACCGAAACCTAACCTCGACAACACCGTGGTCCGAGTTGCCCAGGGGGGACAGGACAACAGTGCTGTAAGGGACAGGATGCGTGGTCAGAAAGAGCTCCAGCAGGCTACTGGCGTATGACGAGACGCGGGGGAAAAAGTAGGGCTCGTCACCAGATGGGTCAGCCATTGAGTAAGCGCGAACGCTTCGACTGCACGACCTGCTGCATCAGGTTTTGTTTGAGCTCAACCAAAGCTCATTATGGGCATTGAAATCACTGAGAAGAACTTCCTCTGAAGCGGGGTGATTGATGTTCAGGAAGTCGATCGGGATGGCGAGGTATTCGAGTAGGTCATCCCAGTTATGGTTCGAGGGGAGCGATATAAGCAGCAAATAAATTTGGAGGATGTTTTGGAGTTGAGGCGAAGCCACAGAATGTCCTTCCGGTCTGATTCCAGAGAGACATCTCTATAGCAAGAAAGACTGGTGCGGACCAAGGCCACAACTCCCCCGTTCTTTCGCAGATTGGAGTGCACCTCGTAGTTTGGGAAGTTAAGATGGTTAATCGGTGCAGACTCTGAGATTTTTGTCTCCGCCAAGAAAAGCACGGCGGGACGATTAGATTGCAGATAGTGATGAACAGCATCAATGTTGCTGTTAATCCCGCAGATGTTCGAAAAACAAATTTTATCTTCGATGTTGTTCCCTCGAGTCCACCCTCAACCCGGACATTCCGAGAGTGGAGTGAGTTTACGTCCGGAGATCTTAGTGCTCGAGGGATCCATCATCATTAATTTCTTTGTTTTGGAAGATAACCGGCTGCATAGCTTAGGTATGGAAACATGCAGACATTTATAAGACACCTTGGGAAAAGCTAGCGGGTGGTACCGCCTCGATCGACTGGTGCTTGTCTACCACCTTTTTTTACGTGTTGATGATATTAAATAGACCTAAAGTGGCCTGTTGGCTGTCTTATACCGGCAATCGGTACTGAGGTATTCCTTAACGCGTGTACAATCACTTGAAAGGGAAGAAGTTGTATACTGGATACAACAACTTCCGGAACAAGGATTTGCCACGGCCCCGCTCAGTAGGGCAAAGGCAAAGGAGTATTAAACGGTTTATTTT